GGGAATAATAATATTTCTCTTGTCTACTTATTTTGACTACATTTTGTTCATGTTTGGATGTACTGGAAGTACTGAGGGAGTCTGCCCCAGGATGCAAGCAGCACATTTCTCTTCTCTTACTGCAGGCAGGGAACTGTTTGACCCTTGAGTGTCTGCTGTGCTGTCTGTGGAGGTTTGACCTGTCAGGGAAAGCTGCTCTGTCAGTGACTGAACTGACTGACTTGCACTGGAGGCTGAGGGAGGCACTCACAGAGTGCCCTGTGGTAGATACATTGCAGGGTAACATCCTCACTATGGGCAGCAGCAGACATTTAGGGGACAGAACATCTTGAATTCACACTACGTCTGCACATCAATGTCTAATCACTGCCACACCTCCAGCCCCACAACTTTTACTCAGCTAAAAACCACATCTATGGTGCTAGGAGTCCCACCTGGATCTAAAATTATATACACCTTACAAGGAAGAGTCCACTAACACATTTTATATTTGATAGCTCAATTTAAAACCAGAATATCCTCACATGACTGCTGGAGAGAGAATTAGGGTAAGGAGAGATATAAATGTCTACAATGAGCAACCTTTTATCTTTGCTGCAGAGGTGACCTACACCACGGTGACACAGAAGATTTAATATAGTGCCCAGCTGAGGGAAGGAATTTTGCACAATATTAGATGACAGAGTTGTTCCATTGTTTAAGTACCACAGGCATTATTAGTCTGTCATGAGACTGGGGTACAAACTCACAGACTGTGCCTCTCACATCTGCCTTTGAACAAGGTTGCCTGTGTAATTATGTATGTGAAGTATGTCTGCCTGTAAACACCAAATTCATGCAGCTGAATTTTGATTAAAAAATTCCTCCCAACCCTCCAAGCAGACACATCAGTCTTCACTGCCTACCCAGCTTAAAGTAAGACCTGACTCCACCTGGATTGATTGCATTTCAGTAGCAGGGGAGGAGTACAAACACAGTTGCAGGATCCATTCTACCATTTTTCAGTGCACAGAAGAGCAGCTGAACTCAAGGCAACACTTGACATTGAGCAAAAAAGGACAGAGCCCCTTTAGAGATGTGAATTTCTTTCTCTTTATTAAACATCCATTATTTAGTGTCTCTGCATGACCAAATTGTTATTCTTTTTCAGATGTTTTTCTGGAATTCCCTAGATTCCACAATCTGCTGTTAAAATGCTGGTACATTTAGATCAATATGAAAAGCCAGTTTGTTCAACAGCAGTTTTCCAGGCAGAGTTACAGAATGTCAGCAGTTTGAACCCAGAGAAAAGAACAGCTCTCCTCTGTTTATGTTTCCAATGGGTGCATTTAGATTATAGCTCATCAAAATGAAGATATTATGGGTAACTATGTCTCATTTTCTTGTAAGGAAGCTGGAATACCAAGAGCTGGTTGAGAAACCAAGGGACTGAATTTTAAAAGCAGCACAGGCAGTTCTCGTTCCCATCTCCCTGCCCTGCAGCACCATCTACAGAGATGCTGTCAGAATCACACCCACTGCAAGCCTCGGGAAGCTCCAGTTCCCTGCACAAACAGACCTGGCTCAGTGATTAACCTGCTCAGGGAACTGAGAGTTTGACAGCTCTAAAACCTGAAATCCTTCTGCAGCAAGATAAAGGCAAGAACATTATCAATTTCCGCAGGATCAATTCCCATGCAGAGAATGCACCTCCAGCAATGACAGAGGTAACCCAGACACTGCTGGGTTTTTCTCCAGAAACTTTCCTGCAGAAGAACTTCTCTGGCAGAGAAGTGTTCCATCTGCAAAAGGATGGTGGGATTTTTCAGGGCAAAATGCACTTCACGGTCCATTAATCCTGAATTTGGCACAAGCTGATTGCTCAGGCTTCAAAAGAGTGCAATATTTCACCTCCTCCATGCATCTACTCAATTACACAAGATAAAACATGGTGGTGATTGACCTTCATCTGATCACTGGAGCATGAGGTCTGCTCGCCCTTCACATGGCCTGGGCACCCAAACAGTGATACAAGGACAGGACCACAGTGAAGGAGTTTTTAAGCACAAGCAAAGGAGTTTGCAGTTTCAAGCTGGAGTTTGAAATATGTCTCTGATTAACTTGCCATTAAAAAAAAAAAAAAAAGGATGCTTATCTATTCACCTCGAAATAGAATGTTCTTCTGAATATGGAGTGGTTTTTTCCACCAGCAGCCAGATCCAAATGCCACAGTAGTAACTGGAAAGTTCCCCACCAGGCCCTGGCTGTGGGAGGAGGTGGGTGCAGGAATGTGCCAGTGCAGGCAGCATTGCTGTCTCCTGCCTCACTGGGAGCAGCAGCAGGGAACAGGCATTAAAAAAGAGATAAAAGGGCAAAGGAAGACACAGGCTCCAAACCTAGAGCTGTGGGCTTAGGCACAGGCATGCAACAGCCCTGAACATTGCCAGGACACACTGAGGAGATGTATCTAGGGATGTGTGCTGTCTTAGAGGGGAAATTATGACCTGGGTTTTTTATGATCAGATCAAGTCCAACATTCTGATGTGGTTGTTTGACCTTGCCATGCCTGTAGGGAGGACACACCAGGACCCAATTCCTCTGATGGTTCAACATATTCTCTCATTGCCAGGCAGAACAGAACTACCAGCTCTTATCTGCTATGAAAACCTTCCAAAGTCATCAGGTTAGTCCAGCACTGTCCACCTTCAGTAAATAAATCTATGTTGCCTTTTAGGCCAGTTCTCTCTGCCATCATGTCTGCTATTATTCTTTCTTGCTAAATTTATCCCAAAGTCTTGTATTTTATTTGGATCAGACTTCAATCATTTTCCCTCTTTTTAAAAGCTGGAAGAATTTTTCCTGTTCTCAGATTGTGTTGTGTTGCTCATGCAGGGATGCTGTTCCACAGCCAGATAGAAAGTGCTCTTGGATGTCTGAGTCAGAAATTAGAATATTCCAGCTGAAAGGTGCCTGTAACGATCATTTAGCCCAAATCATTGTCACATTATGATCTTGATGATTTGTTCCACTTGCATGAGGTAATTTCTGTCTCCATACATTCATTTCCTCTGTGTACATTTCCACTACATATTATACATTCATTTGTGTCCTGCCTCCCCCCCTTTCAGCACCTCTCCCCCTCCTCTCCTTCCTCCCCTGCTATGTATGCCTGAAGAACATTTTGCTATTTGTTTTAATTTCCTTTGCTAGATCTACCTTAGCTTTCCTTCTGGCACTTTTCCCTTTATGCCCACACTTCCTAACTTCTAAGTCGTAGTTTTCTTTGATTAATCCTTTTTTCCATTCCTTCCACTCCCTTTGCTTATTCCTAATATCCACTTTGAAGTGGTTATTCACCAAGTCTGGACCCATTCCTTGCAGAGTTTTATCCCTCTGTGTACAAGTCCCAAATACTTTTATAGCCCCTGCATAAATTCCAAGCCTGCCCAACATCCAAAACTTTTTTTAAGTTGGCAAAAATCAGAAAGCAAAATATGTTATTGCTGCTGTGTACCAACTTCCAGCACATTGGGGTTCCTACTGGGTTCATGTTCTCCATCCTAATGAGATATTCCAAAAGTTTTTTTCTAAAAGATCATGGCGAGACCACTGAAGGCAGCAGAAATTTCTCCTGACCTCCAGCCACAGCAGCAGTGCCAAGAGAAGGCAGGAAGGTCATTAGCTGTTCTCATAGTATAAAAATTGTTACAGAAGATTAAAAATTAGCATGAAGAAATGAAGCACACACATATATTTTAAAGGCTCTGTCAGGCAGCCAAAGTGAAAGCAGATTTCAGCAGACCACGAAGAATGAGCTGCGTGCGTTAGGCCTTGCGTGGCTGGAGCTTATTTCCTTGCTAAATTCCAAGTTTCAGGTCTCTCCTGCTGAGGCAGAAGGGCTGCTCAAGAAAACTCCCCAAATATCTTAAATTAGCAGAGGGAATTTCCCCCCATTTTTCACGGTCCAAGTTTGCCCAGGCAGTTCAATAAATGAGATAACATTTCCAGAAAATGTGGTTGTGATTACAGTCCCCATTCCACCACGGTGTAAATACTGCCTGCTCTGGGAGGGTTTGAGCCAGGGAGTCTCCTGCTGATCCGTGGGCAGCAGCTCCCCTGGCTGTGCTGGGCACTGGCCATTGCTGCTCCCATGGGGATTTGTCAGCTGTCCCCTGGAATAAAGGCATGGGATGCACTGGAGGGAGCCCAAGCCTTGTGTCACATCTGCCCCACATGGGACTGACAGAGCAGCTGGGAAAAGTCATTTTAGTCACCAGGTTGAAAAGTCTCTTCTGAAAAGTCAAATACCATATTGTTGTTTTAAATTGCTTGTTCGCTTTCAGGGAACATCCTGGATTGTTGGGAATTGGGGGGAAAAAAAGCTACTTGTCATTGTTTGCAAAACAGAAAATTGACTGGAAGCAAAAGGAATGGCAAGGAAGGGGTGGAAGGAAAAACCAAAAGGGATGTGGGCATGGACATGGGGATGGATGAAGGGTTGGACTGCAGATGGACCTGGGGATGGATGGGACATGGACATGGGGATGGACATGAAGATGGACATGGGAATGAGCATGGGGCTGATGTGGGGCTGGACATGGAGATGGATGTGGGGATGGACATGGAGATGAACATGGGGCTGGACAGGGGATAGATGTGGGGATGTACTGGAGAAGAATGTGAAGATGGACGTAGGGATGGACATGGACATGGCCATGAACACGGACACGGAGATGGACACAGACACAGACACGCACACGGGGATGGACACGGACACGGGGATGGACACAGACAGAGGGATGGACACGGACACGGGGATGGACATGGACAGAGGGATGGACACGGACACGGGGATGGACACGGACAGAGGGATGGACACGGACACGGGTGCTGCTGCCCCGGCCCCCGGAGCACCGGAACTGTGTTGTCACGGCCGCGGTCCCGGGCGGAGCGGCGCGGGCGGGCGGCCGGAAGGCGGCGGGCGCTGCACAACGCGGAAGTGCCGGTGCGGGCCGGGGCGATGGCGGCGCCCGGCGGCCGCGGGGGCCCGGGCTGGGGGGTCCCGGTCCCGCCCAGGGCCGTCCCGGCCCCGGCCCTCTGAGCGCTCCCGCTCACGGCCCTCTGACGGGTCTCCGCCCCGACCCTGTGAGGGGCGGCCGCCGCGTCTGCCGCGGGCCCCGGGCCGGGCTCGGGCCCGGTGGGGCGGGGGGCCATGGCCACCCGGCGTCTCACGGACGCGTTCTTGTTGTTGCGGAACAACGCGGTGCAGAGCCGGCAGCTGCTGGCCGAGCAAGTGAGTAGTTTCGGCTCCTCCAGCCCTCTGAATTCACGTAGCATGGCTGCTGCGGTGAGTCTCCTCCCTTCATCCTTCTGTACTCGCCGCGCCCCGGGTGCCGGGCCGGGCCCTGCCCCTGTTCCCCTTCCTCCGAACCCTCTCCTCAAACCCACCCCTCCCTCCCCGACCTTCCTCCCTCTGCCCGGCCCTCCCCACCCTGGTGGTTCCTGTTTTCCCGCTCCTTCACGTTAAAGGAATAGAAGAGATCTGTGTGTGCTGCTCGCTCCGTGCGTAATAAATCAGTTCCTGCTCTGGCAGCTTCGTGGTGGCATTGGCAGGAGGGGTTTGAGGTCTCCTTACCTCCAAAAAGAAATAAATTCATACAGCAGAACTCTTCTATTCACCTCACTGTGGGCACTGTTAAATACACTGGTGTAGTTTAGTCCCATTGCTTAAATTTCTCCATAAGTTGCTCTGATGTTCATTGCCCTTTTTATTTATCCCTAAATACAAATAGTACTCAATCACATCTGGGACAAAGGGGTTTCTAGGTTCTAGTGTAACTCCTCTTTACAGAAACTACCAAAAGTGACTGGTTCAGAGGAGTTTCTGTAACTTTTTCTAGGTTTGGAGCTAGTCAGGCTGTGATGGGCTGCTTGGCAGCTCAGCTCTGCTCAGGTTTTCACACTTTCTGTTTAAACTCATCATTTATTTGTCATAGCTACCAGTAAATATCTGCTGGCAGTCTCATCACTTTGAATAGCTGTACATAATGATTTTTGTTGGGAAAAGCAGTGCTTCCTGTAGCTGGCAATGGTCTTTGTTCATTGCTAATTGTATTACATCTATGTCTAAGAAGCTGTGTATTAAATTGCATTTGCAGAACAGGCAATGTCAACAGTAATTTGTATTTTTCATGTTTACTTTGGCTCTGCATTTAGTCCTCGTCCATTTTTTAATGTCACTTCTGTAGATCCTTGGGTTTTTTTAAATATCACCTAGAAAAAGTGATTATTTTTTCAAAGTTTTATATTTTTAAAATATCACCTACAAAAATGTTCGAAAATATTTTGAACTGACTTCTCCTGAGCAATGAAACTGCAATTTACTCAGCAGGCAGTGCAATAACATTGAGCACCTGCATCAAATATTTATTTGCAGTGTTTGTTAACATTAATTGAAGGTTTTTGCTGGGCTGCTCACTCAAATGCAGTGGAGGCTCTCAGTGACTGGGAACTGTCCATGTGTGCAGGGGGTGGAAGGAGTCATTTCTGGCCCTGTGGGCATTTCAGAGTCCCACAGGTGATCTCTTTCAGCCAGAGGTGTGGAGGTGTCTGTGGGCTGGTTGTCTCTCATGGTTTGGTGCTGCTGCTGTGTTTCCCTGGGGTGCTGTCCCCAGGCCAGGGGGGGAAATTCCAGCCCACAGCACTTCAGCTTCCCTGAGTTCATCTCCAGCTTTCCCCTTGAGAAATCCTTTGCTGTGAGAATTCTGTCAAGAATTTCATTTCTAAACTCAGACAATCAAAGCAGCATCTTTAACAGTGGAGTCCTGTTCCTAAAGCTTGGGCAATCTCCTAAGAGATCATCAGCTGCTGCTGCTTTGTTAAACCACAAGGATTCTGTCCAGTTTTAGGTCTGACTTTGTTAGTCTTGGAGTGAAATATCCTTTTGGTCCCACATCCCCTCCCCAGTGCAAGGACTGGTGAACAGAAGGTGCAGATTCGTGTCCTGGTGTATTTTTTCAGATCCTTGCAGGGTTAATGTTCCCTGAAAGCAGAGCACAGCTCAAGTGTGTACAGAAGTGACTGAACATTTCCTTCTGCATTTTGTCCTTTGCTGTCTTTGATCCTGTGAGAACTGGGGTGCTTGTCAATAAATGTCAATAAATGTACAAAAGCTTCTCTGTGTCCCCTCAATCATAACCAAAGCCAGTGGATGCTGAGTGCTGCAGTCAGACTGCCCTTGCTGTCATTCTTCACTGGATTCTATTGCAGCTTTTCTGCCTGACATTTCAGCATTTAGAAACTTCACTGTGCAATTACTTTATAAAACAAACCAAGCTCTGCACTTGATCTCTTATGTTCTTGCTGTTTACCAAGGAACTGAAATGTTTTTTAAAAAGTTGGTGTATTAAGCAAAATGCTGACTTAAAATGCAATATCATGATGTATTTATTGATTAACCATGTCTTAAAAGCCAGTTTGTTTGTTCTTGGTAAACCATCATGCTTTAAAAATAAATCAGTATTTTCTCAACTGACCATGCCCTATATCTGTCCTATGTCTCTTTTTTCCCTTTTATCTTTTGCTGTCTCTAACTGGATGGGGCTGATGGGATCCACAAATCACTTCAGGAGCTGGATGAGGTATTGTTTTTCACATTTTATTCTGCCATGGTGAATCAAGCCTACATCACTGAGCTAGAACAGTCTTTCTTTATTCTGTTAGTTTATAGAATTTCATTGTATAGGATGAAGTGTCTTTGCACAGTAGAAGGACAGGCTGCATAGAGAAATCAAGCATTTTGTGATGTTATGTTATAAACAGATAAATGTATGAGCCAATCTGACTTATTGTGGGCATGTGGGGTAGAGTGACTTTGCACAGTGAAGCCATTAACTATTCTTCATGCTGTGCATAAATTATGCAAACTTTATTGATCAGGAATAAGGTCAGGGATAAAAAAATGGCTTTCAAGAAAGAGTTGCTCAGAAAGGAAGGGGGATTATTTTTTAAAAAGGGATGGGGTAGAGAACCACAAAACTTTCCAGACCTAATAAAGAAAAATTACAAATTTGTGAGAAAATAGGGAAATGTTTGTACGAAAGCCTTCCCAAGTAATTAGTTAATGTAAGAGGTATCATTGATGATCATCTGCAGTACTGCCTTGGCTATTTGTGTTCAGCACAATTTAATTATCACTAAGTAACCATTTGAGATGCATGTCAGTTTGCAAGAGTGTTTGTTCTCCAGAATAACATTGTTTGAGAACAAGCAGTTATAATAAATGTTTTTTCTGAGATTTTCCCAAATGCAGTTTTCAAACTTGCCAAGCCCAATATGAACTGTGCTGCAGCATTGGCTGTGAATTGTTGTCTGATAGAAATGCACCAACATGAGAATTACTTGAATTTTCACTGCAATACTACCTTTCCTCCTGGGAAATTTGCTAAGAATTTATTCTAGGAGTAACTCTAAGCTTTCAGATGCTGCACAAGGGGGAGGGTGTGGGTCATTAGCAGAGAGAGCCAAACCAGGAGACGAGATGTTTGACCACATCTCTGAGGTTCATTTCTGTGGGAAGGCATAGCTGCCCTTCTCTGGTGCTCAGGGGTTGGGGTGTAATTAGCACAGCTAATTGGCTGTCTCTTTTCCTCTGCAGCTGGCTGATGACCGCATGGCCCTGGTGTCAGGGATCAGCCTGGACCCCGAGGCCGCCATCGGCGTCACCAAGCGCCTGCCCCCCAAGTGGGTGGATGGGGCAGACGAGGTGGGTGCTGTGCCCTGGCACATCCAGCTGACTTCCCACAGAGGGGTTTCTTACATTGGCATTCACATTCTGTCAGTTTCCTAGCAGAAATAGTATTGGAAGAAAGATTCAATTCAAATAAGAATTTTACTTTGAATTTTTGTTTGAGGCTGGTGAGGGGTCCAGTTGAATAGACCCTAAAATGGTGGAGATGAGCAGGTTCAGTGATTGAAAACAGGAAATGTTAAGTGTTTTCTAGCAGGAGAATTTTTCTGCCTCTTCAATCTATATGCCTTGCAAGTTTTGGAAATATTTGGACAAATGCAAGGGAATGATTCTGGAAGCATCTAATTAAAAACCTTTTCCAGTATTTGGAATGTGAAGCTGTTCTTGACTTTCAGAAAATCCTTTTTTTCTAAATGCACACTCAGAACACATGTTGGCTCATCAGTTTGTGTGGACAGAACCCATTGTGCAGAAAGATGCTTAGTCTCCTTTTACAGCATAATCATCCTTACAGATTTATTTTTAATTACTTGGTTGAAAGCATGGCATTTAACTTCTGCTGTTGAGTTGAGGCTATTCAATTTCTGACAGTTAGAGGTGTGACCTGAATTTCCATTTATTTTTTTGGAAGTTGGCTAAATCTTCTAGCTGTGATGCTGTATAATTATAAAAAATATTATTCTAACTTAATGAAGCACATTTGAAAGCAGCAGTCTTGTCTAAGATTAATGAGTAGGCTTAAAAGAGTAGCAAACTCAAAGTCTATTAAGAGTATCAGTTTCTTAGTCAGCTTTTTATGTGGCTTTTAATAATATTTGGTTTGCCTTTTATGTTACAGATTTCTCTCAACGATTTTTGTCTAACATTTGTCAGAACCTTTTCCCCTGAAGCATGAATTAATTCCCTTTCTTCCTGTTGGGCTTTCTGTTGTAGATTCAGTATGATATTGCCAGGGTTAAACAGAAAATGAAAGAATTAGCCAGTCTTCATGATAAACATCTAAACAGACCCACACTGGATGACAGCAGTGAAGAGGAACGGGCAATAGAAATCACAACCCAGGAGATCACACAGGTACAGAGTGCTTTGGGTCTTGAACCTCCTTTTTGGCACATCTTTAATGCATTAGAATGAGGCAGTGGTTTGCTCTCAGCAAAGGATTTATTTTGTGATCAGTGTTGGAGCAAGCCAGAAGTCCTGGACTCTGCTCTGAACTTCCCAACAAGTCACTTAAACCTCCCTGTTCTTTCCCTTACCTGTTTGATTTTCAACTTGGGACAGGATTGGGAGATTATCAAATAAATTTACAATTATCTCAGAGAAATCTGTATCTGCAGATGTCTATTCTGAGGCTTGCAGTCCAGCTAATTATAATGAAGCAAATGTCTTTGGTCAGAGGGAGTTGTGTTACTCTGCTGCCTTGTTAGCTCAAAGTTGTTTGTTCATTTATGTTCTTTTTCCATATCTTTTTAAACATTGCATGAGGCAAATTAAAAAATTACTTGAAAAAATGTAGAAATCAAAATATTAGCCTTCAATGTGGGATTTTTGCAAAGTGCTGTTTAGAGTGTGTGCTGCTGTATGATTTTGCACTGATGGGATTGTTCTCTCAGTTATTCCACAGGTGTCAGAGAGCAGTGCAGGTGCTGCAGAGCAGGTCACGAACTTGCACAGAGCAGGAAGCACGTGTTCTCAGGAATGTGGTGTCTTCCTTAGCACAGGCCCTGCAGGACCTCTCCACCAACTTTAGGCATGCACAGTCTGACTATCTCAAACGTAAGCATAAGAGGGGAGCAGCAATGCATGGGCCCCTTCTGTGGGAAGCACTCACTGAGCTCTGCTTCTCATCTTGGGTTGGGACACTGAAGCACAGAAGGGTTAAATGATGCACACAGGACTAACTAGAGTTGGGATTGCAGAGTTTGTGGGTCACAGCCCATGTTCAAACTGCTTTGTTCTACTTTTTCTTGTTGCTAAAGAAGAAATGTTATAGCTGAGCATATCAACAAAACCATATTTCATCCATCCACAATTTTAATGCATTTTGCTCCTCAAGTTGTGGTTTGCAGAGCTGCATCTGTTACACTGGTGAAGCAGCCACTGGTGTTCAGCCTTAACACCTGCTGCAGATGGCAGGCTGTGATAGATAAAGCTTAAGAGCTAGTCTGTGATAAATTAAAATTCTGCATCCATAAACAGACTGGAAGTGGAATAATTTCTGTTTAGAAGTAAAATCTTGTTCTGTTCTGTTTTAAGCTGAGATAGATTTTTTAAATCTTGAAAGAAACCCACAAAAACTGTATTTTTAAATTTAACATTGATATTTCTTCCTCCTGTGGTATAAATGGCACAGGTGGAACTGAAGATCACAGTTCAGACAAGGATTGTTCCCAAGAGAATTTGTTACAAAATAGCCTGGAGTGATCCCACTTTAAGGCTCTTAACCTTCCTAATTTTTTTAACTCCATGGGACATAACAACTTAAAAATCACTGATTTAATCAGTCTTACAAGTCTGGTTGAATTTGTTATGCTTTTGTTAAATAGGAAGCCTGACAGGTAAAATTTAAATATTGTGATTTATGTAATTTACTACACTGATATTCTTTTTTGTGCTTTTCTGTCTGGTGCTTCAGACCTTACCCTGATTATAGTGTGCTTAAATATCTTGCTCAAACATAGTTTGTCTTTTACAGGTATGAAGAATAGAGAAGAAAGGTCCAAACACTTCTTTGACACCTCAGTCCCACTGATGGATGATGGGGAGGATGATACACTTTATGATAGAGTAAGTTAAGATATTATTACACAGATTCAATATTAATTGCATTTTCTCTTCTCAGATTATAAATATCTGAGTTATGAAATCTTTTTATGTTTTTAATTATTTTCTTGTCATTAATATTAGTTCAGCATGTAAATCTTCTGTTTCAACAGGGTTTTACAGATGACCAGCTGGCATTGGTGGAGCAAAACACCCTGATGGTGGAAGAGAGGGAGCGAGAAATCCGTCAGATTGTGCAGTCAATCTCTGATCTCAACGAGATATTTAGGGACCTGGGAGCAATGATAGTAGAACAGGTACATGGACAGCACAGTGGTAGTGAGAAATGGGACATTCCATGCAGTGTGAAGGCTTCCAGACTCACTTTTCCTAATTTGCTTCTTCATGCTCAGGTTTCCTCTGCTTGAAATCTGCCACAAGTTGAGTTAATGAAAATAAATGAATAGAAATTCAACTCGTAATGTGGGTTAGACTTAAAAACCAAAGAACATAGAAAGCCACAGTTCACTTGGTTATTTCTGCCAGAGATCAGTTTATGTTGAATTTGTCAGCCAAAAGCAGCTGGTCTGGAATTAAGATGATTGTAAGGTTTGTGATGTGAGATGGTGACAGAGCTGCTATTAGGAACTGAGCAAAGAATTTGCTTAATGAAGTCCCAACTAGTTGTGTAAAAGTTCATTGTTTACATAGCTCATGAGCTGTTTGCTGGGAGTGTTGTTAATTACTCTGCTGCTTATGATAACATTTGCTTTATGAAGCTCATGTAGGTTCAATTTGGTGCTTGTTTTCTCCATTTTATTTAGGGAACAGTTCTAGATAGAATTGACTATAATATTGAACAGTCATGTATGAAAACTGAAGAGGGTCTAAAACAACTGCATAAGGTAAGCTGAAGGAATACTTAAGCCATTCTGCACATCTAACAAGCTTTTCTAATTACAGCTGTCCTGTAAGAGGAGCTTCCCAAGTAACTTCTGTTAATGTCATGCTTGATGCCTCGAGTTGATTTCTTAAAAGACTTTCTGGGCATCCAACCAATGTGCTTTGATATTTATATTGCTGACCTGGTGGGACCTGTCTGCAATTCCTTCTCTCTTTGAAAAGCCAGGCACTTGGGAATAGGGCTGGTTATTGGCTACCTCACTGCAGATTTTAGTTTGAAAACATTATCTCGATCATGTGAGCAGAAAGAATAATTATTAATGTTTTGTCTTACCATCTGACACTTGTTAGATCCAGCCTCTTGCTTTAATGTGAAGTTTTGCTATGAACACCTGAAAAGTTTTAAAAACATTGATCTCAGCAGATCAGAGTTTTGTGGTCATTTTGTTTTGGTTTTATTTTGAAGGCTTATTAATTAAAAACAAAATACAAGCTTTGTTTTGTTTTGCTTCTATTAATAGACTTTAATTTGGCTTTTGGAGAATTTCCTCTAAGTTGTATCCTATTAATTCCCCTGCAAAAAGGAGGAGAGGGATGAGAAAATATGGTTAGAAGAAAGAAGGAATGAAGCAGAAAACTTGAGAACCAACTCAAAAATAAAGCTTTCAGTTCTAATTGAAATTAAATGAAAATGCACAGCTGACCAGGTACAACAAATGTGCCTGTTAAAAAAGAAATTTTGTTGTGAATTTTAATGTCCTTCAAACATGAAGGAAGGAATCTTATCTCAGCAAACTGAGTCTTTAACACGGTGGATGTGACTTCAGTGTGCATTTACCTTCCCTGGAGCTTCTGGTGCAGATCAGAGTTACTGTGTGGGAATTGCCTGCAATGTACATTACACTTACACTAAACAAGAGTCTGTAGCTCAGCCTTGCAGAAATCTAATTATTAACTCTTTCCTCTCTGTTTTACAGGCAGAGCAATATCAAAAGAAGAATCGGAAGATGCTCGTTATTTTAATTTTGTTTGTTATAGTAATTGTCCTTATTGTTGTTCTTATTGGTGTAAAGTCACACTAGGTTTCGCTTCATTTTCTCATTTTTGGAGTTTCTGTGAACTTTTTTCCCAATGTGAATGGATGGACCTGCACTCCAGAAAGCTGCCTTTGAATGTACGAGCCCTTGTGGTGCAACGTCTGTGCAATGTTTCTGTAGAATTCTTCAAAGTACAAGTTTGGTGGTCTGTGAGGTGTTTGTAAGGATTATATGGAAAATGTCAGGAAATTTGATGCTCCCACACAAAAAAATTCGGTGCTCTATGCAGAGGTATTTTGAAACACAGTACTTAAGAATAATTAAAAATTGAAGTTTACCAGTGACTACAGTAATTAGTGTGTTACTGTGAACAAAAATGTGTTGTCTTCTATATTCTTATGTCATAATTGTTACAGACTTCAAATTTAAACCATGTTACTGATTCCATGGGACTGGATGTCAAAAATTGATCTTAATGTAAAATTGGTTGAGACACGAAATTGTTTGATTGAATGCCCATTCTTCCAGACTCAAAAACTCCAAAGAACTGGATAGGCAGCTAAAAAGGAAAGCTTTTAGCAATCAGAACATAATCCAACCCCTGTGATCTTAATTTAGATACTGCACCATTACTAAGAATCAGTGGTACTTGATCTTGTAAATAACAAGATGTAATCACTGGCATAATTTAACATGTTTAGTTAATTAAAAAATTTTCTGAGCTTGAGTAATCATGGGAATGATTTTCTTTCATTGGGATGATCATATATTTTTTTCATGCATTATTTTTTTAGTTAAAGTAGAGATATTACATTAAAGCAGGGAAGTTAAGCTGAAAAAATGGAGTAGAAACCCAAAAAGAAAATCTCTCTGGCCTGCTGCAGTGGGTCTTGGATGTTTCAAACTGTAGCTGCTGTACAAATTGTTTATTTTACAATGCATTTGTCCATATGGGTTATGTTTTTTGTATAAGGAGTGGCTTCACTACAGTAGATATTACATCCATTTTCCCTGACAGAAAATTCTCTTTCAGATGTCTTCCTGGGAGAGGACATGTTTGTGGTCCTTTACTGACCATGAGAGGTGTCATGCAAGTGGCATGTTACAAGGCCTTCAGTGGAGAATTTGGGGTTTTCACTGCTTTTTTCAGTGGAGAACTTTGCTGCAGGCCGTACAACAGAAGTTAAGGCACCATATAAGTAATAGAATACTCTTAATTTAATTCAGGCCTGAAGTGATGTGCAATTGTAGAGGCCTTGTCTTAATATTTTTAATATTGCTTTTTATATGTTTGGTTGGTTTTTTTTATTTCCCCCAAGGGACTGTAACTTCCTTCATTTTCTGACTGATACAAGTGCTCCCCACAGACCTGCTGAGCTGCTCTGCTCCAAGCCCCAGAAGTGCAGCTTCACAACACTATGTGACACTGAAGCTGCATCTCTTGCCTGCCCTGAGTTTCTTTACTCTGTGCTAAAGAGGACTTGAGACATGGCTTTAAACTGACCATTTTCAGGGATGGACCTGAAAGCAAGGACTGCAAAAATATGAAAGCCTTGGCTTTTTGTGGGGCTAATGAAAAGCTTTGTACCACTCTTGTTACCTCTAGAGAAAGGGGATGTTGAACCACCAAAGCTGCCAGTTCAAACTCTTCATGGATTTCATGAAGTAAATTGGTGAAAGGAAGAATGAGGCTTGTGTTGGGTGTGCAGCTCCCCTGTTCTGGTGATAGATCTTGCAATGATTGTGAGTAAAACTACTGTCTCCCTCGTGCTGGCTGCATCACTTGGTGTGAAGCAGCAAATGGCTATAATTTAATATACTGTATTTGCAACTTTCTCTCTAACATGAGATCGTGTTATTTATTTCTGTCTTGACCGGTGCTTTTGACATTTTATCATGGCAGATGGTTTCAAAGAAGTAATAAAACACTTCCAACCTAATTGGGCAATTATTCTTTTTTTTTATTTAAATTATAAACTGAAACATACTTTTGTGATGTTAACATGTTTCTGTTCTTCATAATAAAGGAAAGTGGCAGTGATGTGAAATATCTTTTTTTTTTAAAAAAGTAACTTTCTGTAGCACAATGTCATTTGCATTGTCAAGAGTTATTTCCCATGAGTTATGCCCACTGTCTACCTATTTTCTACCCAAATTCTGTATGAGGAAATGCATTTTTAATGAAGTTAAACTCGGATATCAAGTGTCCTGTGTAACTTGAGCTGGAATTTATTGAAGCTTGATTCTCTTGAGGAAGAAAACTCGGGTCAGGCTGGATTCTAAATAATTGCTGGTGTGTGGCTTACCCTGAGTCAGTCTGAAGAAGTGTCAGCAGTTCAGCCAAACCTGATGCTGTGCTCTGTGCGAGTATCCCCACCAAAGGGGATCTGGCTGTGCCTTTTGGCAGTGAAAGCCCAGAAAAGCCTCAGCAGCTGCTGCCTCCTCAGGTGTTCCAGGCGCTGCCTGAGCCTCCTGCCTTCGCTTCTGCCCGGCCCTGGAAATCTCTGTGTGCTGCTGCAGCCAAAGCTGGGACCCTCTCTCAGCCTGGGGCTTCTTCACAGGTGCTGGATTCTTCTCAGCCTGTATGGAAGCTCAGGTTCCTTACAAAGGAACAGAACAGCATTGCTAAAGCAACTCCCAAGGATTTGTGTCTCCTCACCTGGTGGGAATGGCCTGTGAAGCTGTTGCTAGTACACAGTTTCTACATTAAAATGCTTGTGAGGGTGCAAAAAATGAGCTGCAACTCGTTAACAGAAATTAAATACATGCCAAAAGGACAGTATTAAAAGCACTGTAATAGCAAATTTATTTTTCTAGAACTGAAAAGTAATGTGGAAGAATTGGTTTTTCTCTTGCTGATTTTTGGAATGTGCTAAAGATTGGATATCTATCCTTAAAGCTGTGTTCACTGCCTAGATTGCATCGATTTCAGGTTTGATTTTATGAACCACAACACAAAGGAGTTTTAACTCTTGCTTAAGTGTTTGGAAACTGCTTTTGGTACAGCCTTTCAAAACTTAAGTTCTTGGATAGGTTACAGTGAAACTGATTTTGTTGGAAAAAAATATGCTTAGTATTTAAAAAACCCAAACCAAACAGCTACCTTAAAACTAATTTAAACAGGGAATTCATTATAATTTTGCATATTAATTACAATGGATCATGTAAGATTCTATTTTACTGGCTTAATTCCATGAATACTTGTAGAGGATCAATAACTGGAGGACAGGTCCTTGCTGCAGCTTCTGCTGAAGCTCAGACAAATAGAAATGTTTGCAGCTGCTGGTGGTGGGACATTCACAGGGAGTTTCTGGAGATAAAATTGATTTCCTCAGTCCATTCCCTTCACGAGGACCCTCCTCTGTTGCCCTTAACTGCAACAAAAGGATCGTGGGTTAGGTGAGTGTTTCCCACTGTTTTATTTGCTTTTCAGATGCTGTGGATTCAGGGAATGTGCCGGTTTTGGACTCTCAGAGCAGCGGAAACAGCAGAGTTTGAACTCAATGATTGAGAGCTTACTGCCTGGAGGAATCTTTGGAATGTCTCAATCCTGAAGTAATTGCTGTGTGTCCTCCACTCCCACGCTGATCTTATGTGTTGGCATACCCGTGGACCCTGAGCAATGTATTTTCTGTGGCTCAGGGAAGAGACTCGTTAAAGTTGGAGCCTGTGTATTGAATTACTCTCCCATCCGTGAGGATGTACGACCGACCTCTGCAACAGATGTTCCTACAACTTTTATTTTCAATAAAATTTCTGTGATGTCCCTTCAAAGACATTACTCTAGAGAAGTTTTTTTTCTGGAATTCAGCCTGGGTTTGGTGGGTTTTTTTTTGTTTTTCTTTTAGGTGTATTTCCATTATATGCATCAGAATTCACTTTTCCCGCGTAGGTGGGAGATTGCACAGACCTTTCCCGGCTTTCCTGGCTGCAGATCAATGAGCATCAGCTTCCCCATGGAACAGTGAGAGCACCAAACCTGTCTGAGCTCCAGGAGTGCTCGGACCACGCTCCCAGGGACAGGCTGGGACTGTCGGGGTCTGTGCAGGGCGGGAGTTGGACTCGACGATCTCTGTCCTTCCAAATCAGCAGATTCTGATAATTGTCCGCTGACCAAACATTAATAGGAGGCTCTTGGCAACTACTAAAAGATCCGAATAAACACCTTATTCTACTCCAACCCACCATGTAAGTGCACTGTGAAAAGGCACTCGGAAAGCCCCGCGGGCTCAGCGCAGTGCCCGGAGCCTGCCCGGGCCGTGCCCGGCGCTGCCGCGACACCGGCGCGTCCCCGCCCCGCGGAGCCGGGGCCGGGCCCGGGGCGGGGCGGCGCGGCCGGGCCGGGCAGGAAGATGGCGAACGTGCAGCTGGAGTTCCAGGCCAGCGCGGGCGAGGCGGACCCGCAGAGCCGCCCGCTGCTCGTGCTGGGGCAGCTGCACAACCTGCACCGCCTGCCCTGGGCGCAGCTGCGGGGGAAGCTGCAGCCGCGGGTCACCGAGGAGGTGAGGCCGCGCCGCGGGTCCGCGCCCCCTCAGAGCCCGGCAGCGCCCGCGGGGCTCCCGCGCCGCGTGTCCGCCCGGCCCAGCGGCCTCGCGGGGGCTGCGCGGCCCCGGCCCTGGGCCCGGCCCCGAGCGCCGCTGTGCCCCGGGCAGCCCCCGGGCCGGGCCGGGCCGGGCCGAGCCTGTTGCTGCGGCGGGGCCGCCCGGGCAGCCGCTCCCGCAGCCCTTGTGCCCACCCCGGCCGGGGAAAGGCGCTTTGCCCTCTCTGAGGGATCAGGGGGCGGCTGCAGTGAGCGCTGGGAGCCCCCTCCCCGCCCGCCGCCACTGCGGTGGGAGCTGCGGACCTGTTTGTTTAGTGGCGGTGATGGCTTGTGGTAGAATGATAAACGTTTTGCATTGCGGCTTTTAGGTCGCTAGATGTTTGGCAGGGGTTTTTATACAGGGCTCCCCAGTGTCTTAAGACAATATTTACCCTTCTTGGTTTTATTTGTTTTTAATTAAATTGCTATGTGAAATAATAATCCGGAGCTAGTAAATCATTCCTCGTATTTATCGCTAGGAAAACTGTCTCAAGTTAAGAAAGCTCTGAACCAGCCTGTGCACTAAACAGTGTGGTTTTAGATTGTAATTCATACGGCTTAAAGCAGATGCTTGTAATGGAAAGTACGTTTCTGTTTCCTGGTTAATGAACAGGTTTGTCAAATTTCCTGTTTCTCTTCACTCCAGAGCTTGTTGTGCACAATTTCTTTGTTTCCAACACCTAAACCCCTGTCATTAAAAAGTGCCTAAATCCAGCAGGAGTGAGGTGGGAAGGAAAGCCTGGCACAGCTCTTTGTCTTTAAACGCTTCTTTTCTCCCCAGATCTGGCAGTCAGCTCTGAGCACGCTGAACCCCAACCCCACGGACAGCTGCCCCCTGTACCTGAACTATGCCACGGTGGCCGCGCTGCCGTCCAGGGTCAGCCGGCACAACAGCCCGTCCGCGGCGCAGTTCGTCACCCGCCTGGTCAGGAACTGCCTGCCCGGGGGGGTCCACAGATGCATTGTTGTAAGTGCCTCTGGAAATGCTGCTGGTGAAACGTCTGGCAAGTGTTTTCTCGACTTTTCCGGGTTGTAGCTGTCTCCAAGGAGACTGGAGGTGGACAAGTTTGACTGATATAATTGCACTGACATGAGTGGGTTTGCACTGGCATGTAGGCAAGACCTGACGGTAATGCCTTGTGCATGCTCAAGCACATTAGCAGGAGGAAATTAAGGCTGGATTCAGATGGAACATCTTCAACCAGGAATGCCCATGCAAAATGAGCTATTAGTGGCTTTTTTCGAACTAGGATTTGGGATGTCAGCACATGCTTCAGGAGGCTGATGTAGCCTGAGTGGAGGGTGTTATGTCTGTATCACAGAACCCATGAGAGGTGCCTTGCTTGTGTTGTTCAGTGAGTTTTAAAAGTCTTGATACAGATAATGCTCCAGTGTGAGTCCTTTGCAGCACTAGCTCTTGGACTTCTTTGGTCATCTTCTATACAAGGCTGATGAATTTATTTGTTTCTGTGGGTTCTCCAGTTAATATCAGATTTGTGGGTTGTTGGAGAAGACTCATACAGTCAGTGTCAGTTACAAAAATTAGTAGTCTTCACTTGGAAAACTTATTTGCAAGAGTAATAACTCTACTTAATTTTTACCCTTTGAAAATGTTTAACTGAAGCCGCTTTCAATTGGTAATTTCTATAGTGAACTTCTGAAAAATAATCTACCGGTTAATGAACTTCTGGGTTAATCCTAGCCACATTCTCATACAATTTCTGCCTTCACAGTCTCATAGAATTTCTGTCATTTTCACTTTTGTTTTGAGCACGTTTTGGTGATTCCTGTGCCTTTTTTGGTCCTGATCTGTAGGCTAACCTGTGTTAATTGCACTGGTATAATTACAGCAGTCCAGCTCCCTTAGAAGGATGAACTAATTGCAGCAGTGTAACTAATTCCAAACGGGAAACGAACTGGACCAGTTCACTGGGGCACTTTCACACTGCCTCTCTGTCCATGCAGAACACCATGAATGAGCTTCTCTTGGGCAGTGTCATTTCCCACCCAGCTCCTTTTCCCCTCTGCCCCAGTGGCAGCCCAGATCCTTTAAGTGCAGCCTGCACGGGGTGCAGTGTGACGTGTTTGCTGCTGTTGCAGATGGTGTGCGAGCGCTCCGAGGTCTTCGCCTCTGCCTGTGCCCTGGCCAGGGCCTTCCCCCTGTTCACACACCGCTCCAGCGCCTCCAGACGCACAGAGAAGAAAACTGTGACTGTGGAATTCTTCCTGGTTGGCCAAAACAACGGACCAATGGAAGTGGCAACCCTCAAAGTAAGATTTTGGGGGCTTTCTGTCACCTTTTCCTTCAGTTTGTTGCATGTGCAAATGCATCTGTCTCCAGCTGCCTCTGGAATAGGTGTTGTGTAATTATCTTAGCTCAGGGTTCCTTGGAGCTGATCAGTTCACAGCATCTGTGAGTGGAAATACTGAACAGATGATTGCAGCAGATGCTGAGGATGTTA